GTACCAAAGCAGCCGCATTCAGGACGTTCTGGTCAGTTACAGTCACTCCCGCTGGATCCACATTAACTGTGTGTCGGTCCTGAATGCTGCTGCCTGCCTGTCGCTGCCTCTCCTCTTCCACCGCTCGCAGGCTCTGCCTCCCTGCAGCAGGAGGGAGGGTTTGGCACACCCCCGCCCCCTCCCCTGCTTCCCCTCCGACGAGACCCGCCCCTGCCAGAGTACCTCCTGATAGTCCGGCATTTCTGATAATCCGGCACCACTTGGGTCCCAAGGGTGCCGGATTATCGGAAGTCTACTGTAGTTTCAAGGATACAGGTGGTCTTGCTGTAGACGTCTTGTTTATATAGTAGGTAGGAAACCATACTCCCCTTATGCATCACCCAAGAGTACATTGGAACGTTTTTAAAAAATGCAATACACTTATAATATTCATGGCATCAGCATGATTTTGAAGAAGTTAGTACTCAAACATCTGCTTCTAGTTACAGCTCCTTAACTCATCCTTCTGATTTCTCCCTCCCATCTCCGTATTCAGTCCTTCACTCCAAACCTGAAATTTGTTCTGTAATAACCCAGAAGAGGTCTGTTGTTGAATCTTCTATATGAATTTATCACATTCAGTCCTTAGGATCCTACTTAGAACGTAAGATCTTTAGAATGTGACTACTTTCTGGTCTGTTTGAACAATACCTAGCACAGTAAAACCCTGATCTGATAGGAGTCTCTAGGCAGAACTGAAATATAAATTAAATATTAATGTTCAACCGTCATTGTAACTTCCAAAACCTATAACAACTAACCTCTTGACAATAAAATTTACAAATATTTAATGCAATACTGCCTCAATTATTCAGTCTTAGACTTCTGTCAAATAGGTTTGAGTTTTAGATTCTCAGCTGGCAAACTGCATAGACAAATTTCGGTCCTCCAGGTAATTGGAGGGAGAATGAAAGAATTTACAGTGTAGTCTTATCCTTATCCTTCATATCAAAGACTTTTCGGCTTGTTTTTTTTTTCTTTCTTTTTCTTTTGAAACCAAAATTGTTCCCTCTCTTGAATATGCATCGTTTTAGGTTTTGCCTTTCTCTTCTTTCCCCACCCTTTATCAATCCTGTGGGTGGGTGGCCTTTTCTAATCATCTTTCTAAATGGCCTTTCTGGTTGTGATTATTTTGGCTATCCTGTTGGATAGGTGTATTAGTTGCCATTTCTAGTAACCTAGCTGTTTTGATCTTCCGAAGGATTCTGACCATCTTTGGGTTTAATCCCTGCTCGGGGTCCTCCTTGAATATCATTCAGTTATGGAATTATTCTGCTAAACTTTTGCCCTTCTTTTATTATCCCCTTCAGACAGAGATTTTCGCACTATTTGGATGTGATCACATCCTTTAGGTTGTATTTCCATGCAATTCATCCTTTCATACTTGCTATTTGTGGCCCGAAAGCAGGGGTGGGGAACCTAAAGCCTGGGGGCTGGATGTGGCCGCTGGCTTGCTTGGATCTGGCCCCTGAGGCTCAGGGCTCCTCCACTAGCATTGGGGAGCCTGTGCTGGTACTCCAACCTCCTGCAGTCTCCCGTGGGGCTGGAGCACACAAAATCTATTAGCCTGGGACCCCCTAGGCTTGGTGTGGAAGAGGAATGTGGTGACTGTTTTCCTCCTCAGTTGGGGGCCATGTCAGGAGGGTTTGGGTGGTTTTTGTTTTGCTTCTCACTTTTGTACTCCCTCCCCCCCCCCAACTGATTTTTCTGTGGGTCAGTGGCACCTGCCCAAAAGAAGGTTCCCCACTCTTGCCTTAAAGGGTCTAAAAGCCAACATTTTTTATATTTTACCATAGCTAGAATTTTTTTTAAAAAAACCTGTGTATAAAAGCTACAGTATTTTGGCAGAATTTGTAGACTATGTCTGTTAAGACTAGGGCCATGGCCATTTTATAGGGTGGTAGGTGTTAGCCGGTGGCTGGGGTAATGAGTGCTCTGTGAGCCCTATCACACTCGAGTCTTTAACTGCTAGGACAAAGTCCCTTCGCAGCAGGCAGCCAGGGAAGCTGACAGGTGCCCCAAGAGTCTGCCCCGTGGAGGCGGCACGACTCAACGCTCAGCTCTTACTGCGTTTATCCCTGACAGTGGCAAGATAACCAAACCAGCTACAGTTCTTTTTTATTCTGTTTGGTTCTGTTACAGCAGTGGTCCCGAACACAGTGCTCGTGCCCTGGGAGCGCAGCACTTGGAGAGCGATTAACTCCTTCTGGGGTTTCAGGATTTGTGAACCCCCTGGCTCTGGAGAGTAGCCACAAATGAGGGGCTCAGTGTGTGGGACTGCCAGTGAGTGGGATAGGAATGGGGTGCAGGAGGGGCTGAGGGTGCAAGGTCTGGGTGGGAGGTAGGGTGTAGGAGCAGGCTGAGGGCAGAGTGTCTGGCTGGTGGGAGAGCAGGAGCAGGCTGGGGGTAGCGGGCAGGAGTGGGCTAGGGGGTGTTAGCCGGTGGCTGGGGAAGTGAGTGGTCTGTGAGCCCTATCACACCTGAGTCTTTGACTGCTAGGACAAAATCCCTTCGCAGTGAGCAGCCAGGGAGGCTGATGGGTGCCCCAAGATGATGCAGAGAGAGCTCGTTACACTCGAGACTTCGACTGCTAGGACAAAAGTCCCATCACAGTGGACAACCAGGGAGGCTGATGGGTGCCCCAAGAGTCTGCCCCGTGGAGGGGGCACGACTCAACGCTCAGCTCTTACTGCGTTTATCCCTGACAGTGGCAAGATAGCCAAACTGGCTATGGTTCTTTTTGATTCTGTTTGGTTCTGTTACATCAATAGAAGGAGTTAGGTTAAAGCTTAAACAGTTACTATTTTATTGTTACAAGGAAAGCTTTGCTGTTAAATGTTACTGCTGTGTTACAGATAACACAGCCACTACAAAGACAAGACAGAAAAATACAAGAAGTCGCTTAAAGGTACCGTGGAACCCTTTTGGTTCTCTGAGCTCTTATTGAAAATGCACGCAAAATAGACACCTAGCAGATATATTCTCACCCCTGCGATCCTTACTCCGGCGAAGCCAGTGTTCCTCTCAATCCCAATGGGAAGCAGTCGGTACGAGACAAAGGCATCCCTAAAGTCTCGGGGGTCCAAGACTGCCTGACCAGCAGGTATATGGTTGGATCTCCAATTAGAGTGGGGCACATGACCCCACTTTATACGTAGTCGCTTCTCTTGTCATTAAAATGCCAGTTAAGTTGGAACGTCTTTGTGACGCTCATTCCCACAGGGGGTCCAAAGCTTAATTTGCACCTGTGCGGTGGAGGTAAGATTCCTCTTCTGGGACAGTATGTAGGCGTATCAATTACTGGTACCAGCCAAGGGCAGCCCGAAGCCCCGATCGTCTGCTGGCCCAATTGCCGCTGTTATCTGGTTCCTGTCTAGCATCCAGGGCCATAGTTATTCCAGCACCTCTGGAGGCCCTGGAGCCTTTGAAGACAGAGTTTTGTATGCGGGGGGGTGGAGGGGGGATTCTGTCTGGCTACATTTGGAAAACAAAATTTCTATGAAAGTTTATGTAAGGCTGCCACCTGATGTCTTTACAAGGTAGTATATAGGTTTAACATATCTACTTAAATAGGCACCATGGTTGGAAGGCATATGTCAAATTTTTGTGATTTATAACGTCTTTTTTTCCTTGTGAGCTGGGGAGCCGGTGTGCGTTAGTACTTTAGTTTATTAGTCCTAAATGTCAAATTAATACACAAATCTTTTTTCATGCTCACACCCACTATCAGACACTAAATCGATATATTTGCTGTTTTTAAGCAGGTTTGGTTTTTTTTAAAGTTATGCTAGTTTCTCTAGATATTCATTGTAGTTTCTTATTTTGCCTTATTTAATTTCTCTAGTAGTCAAGTCTTCAGATCAATTCAAAGCAACTTACTATTTTGACTGAGAAGCTGTCACTTTCATTCAATAATTAACATGTGACTCAGTTGTGATTTCTTTATGCGCTCACTAACAGTATTATAATTAAGCACATTGGTTGCAAATAAATTTGAAATTTGAACTGTGGTACAGACTTTCCAAGATAAGCAAGTTAAAAATAACTAAATATTCTCTTCAGTATGGAATTTTAATAAATGTATTCTTTTGCTACTTATTGGGTAATTTAGGCAATAGGAGATAAGTTTTTGCCTGAGCTTGTCAACTGGCAGTTACTGTCTTTGGAAGGGATACGAAAGTGTAAATGTGTACGTGGTTAACCAAAGAGCCTGGGCTCATCGGTTAATCTTCATGGTTACACGCAACTCTACCCCTGCACTGCTGCTTCTAGATCCCGGCGCATACTGCAGCAGCATGGTGTGGGGAGCAGGCAGTGGGAGGCTGGCAAGAGCTTTTACGCTGGCTCTCTGCAATCACCAGCTCCTGCGGAGCCACTTTCCCCATGCGTGTAAATGTGTGATCACTGAAAATTTCACATTTGCCTAAGTAAATGCATTTTAACATTTTTGTAGACGTCTGCATACCAGAGTACAGGCTCTTATGGTTACAACTTAAAATCCTGGTTAAATGTTAGGCTGACCAAACGTTTAACCAGTTAACCAAGTAATCGGGATCCCAGGTGGGGGGACGGCTCCAGTATGCAGTGGGCTGGACTCCCCGTAGGCAGAGGCTATTCTGGATGGTGGTGCGGCCCTTGCATGTGGAGCTCCCAGGCTCATTGCATATGGGGGCTGCTTTGGACGAGAGCAGATTCTATCAATTCTGTTGAATAAAAGTAGTATATAGGGAGTTCAGGTAGAATCGTACCCGGATGGTGTAGCACTGTACTGGCTGTGTATGAACCCTATTTGAGTTATATGTTAAATCATTTGGTTCTGCTTCCACAGAGGCAATACATAATTTTGAAAGTGTTAAATACATACCCCATCCTTAAGACCCAAGACACCTCAGCCTGGTTGTTGAAAGAAAAACAATCTTAAACTCTACTTCATGTATGTTACTAGTAGGCTAGACTTGGTTCATCATATATGGTCTAGAGAAATTTAATTCTTGGCATAGAGATGGGATTGAACTTACAGTTTGCCCTTAGTTAAGATGGCCTTTTCCAATGATCACTATCTCCAGTTGTTTTCAGTGTGATCTATAATACAGGAACCCCCTCTCTGCCTCCAGAGAGCATCTGGGGCTTCCAGGTTTTGTAGGTGCAACTCGATTTAATTTTTATTGAGAAGAATGGGCGGTGGTAATTGTTATAAAAGAGGACATTTTAACCAAGGGCAGTATGTTACTTCAAGCTTATTAAAAACTAGGGAAATTAGGGGAGTTCTTTGTTTCTCTGAGGGAGGTTTCGTGATCTCCTGTCAGATAATTTCATTTATGAAAATATCATAAATAATATCTATTTTAAAAAACAACAAATCAAATGAAGAAAGAAAAGGGGAAAGAAGATGAAATGGGTGAGAGCACAGAGAAATATGAAGTATGGATCTTGGTGAGTAACTCAGAGTAGGGATGTAAATGATTAACTGGTAAGCCTCATCCTTAATGGTTATTCTATTTAACCAGTAGAAGCTGGAGCAGCTCCCCACCCACCTCTGGCACAAGGCTGCTCCAGCCCCACAGGGACCACCACAGTCAGGGGCTGTGGCACGTGGTGGGCCAGACTAGAGCAGTGTGCCGCAGGCAGTGGCTCCTCCCTCCAGAGCAGCCCCTGTCTGTGGCAGGTCTAGCTTGGCCTCCTTGCCGCACTAGGTTCATGGGAGTGGGGCTGGTAGCTCTTGCTTGCTTTATACTGCAGAGACGGCAGCGTGTGAAACCGTGGGATTTTTAGTGATTACACAGTTAAATTTTTAAACTACGTTGTATATCCCTAATGCTGCAGAAGTACTGTAGACTGTTCCCTAGGCTTCAGAGGCTAAGCTGTAGAATATACTACAACTTCGAAGTGACATCTATACTATTATTCTAGACTGCTAGCTTGAGCCCCACCAATCCAAGCCTGTCAGTTGAGGCTGGTAAACTCATTACAAAATGCTTGTGCAGACATACATTGAGGTGTATCACTACTTTCCGATTAACAGGGAAAAGCATATTGTGATGAGTTTGGTCACAGAAAGCCCCTTGAGACTATCGCCTGATTTGCTGATTATAGCACTGAGCCCTTCTACCAGTCCTCTGATGTGCCCTGTCCTGCTAAATTGGAATCTCTGGTCTTACCCCGGAAAGGCTCAAAGTTGGGGTCACAATCCATAGCAGAGCAAAAGAGACACTGAGAGCATCTCTGCTATGGGAAGGCTCAGTCTCAGGGACAAGGTGCACAGCCCCAATTCTCCTAAGCGCTCTCAACTCCTCGTGGTTACTTGTATTACCTTGACATTTGGTGTGGCTCATGGTAACGTATAGATAGGGTAAGTAATCTAGATTAGGTGCTTTTAACCAAGGAATTCTGAAGATACGCTCCACGTGGAAAAGAATTTTTTTCAAAGTTCAGGGATTCTGTTAGTGTTTTTATGTGCAGACCTAGAGATCAAACCATTGGCTCTGATCCTGGCAAAGGAGTCTCTATATGTACCCAGCTAGTGCACGGAGCCCACTACTCCTTTGTAGAATCAAAGCTAAAAATTACATTCACGAGGTAGTTTAGCTTTCTAGTTAGGCATGGGCCTGAATTTCCTAAGCCACATACGCTATTATGTATAGACCAAGTAGTTGAACATTTTTCTAACTTTCCAGTTTTCAATGCAGCTTCGTAACCTAAGGTCACATCAGTAGCTAATGAGTCTTTGAGATGTGTTTCTGTGGGCGACCCACAACCCTTTTCTATGACTCTGCAGTGGAAAAGGAAGTTGGTGGGGGAGAGGGGAATTAGGTTGTGCTGACACTTATACTAAATTCAGTTATACCTAAGTTGCCAGCAAGGGGGAGTGAGCCGGGAGCCAGTGCCTGTGGAGAGCTGGCTTTTAAGCTGGTTCCTTGTGTGTGCTCTTTCCTATGGAAGCTGCCTGCCCTCCCATCTTCCCCCACCCCTGACAGCTTCTGATAGAGGCAGTAGCGTGGGGAGTAGGTCGGAGCCAGTGCTCGGAGGAGCTGGCTTAAAAGCTGCCCTATGAGCACCAAACCCAGTGGAGCTGCCTATCTCCATGTGCTGCTGCGTCTGTATCAGAAGCAGCAGCGTGGGGTAGGGGAGGCAGGTGAGAGGCTGGTGCAGCCTCTCTACACGGGGAGCTCGGGCAACCCATGGACAGGGCCTGCTCTGCGGGATGCCAGCGCAACCTCTTTCCACAGGAAGCTTGGGTTCTGCCCCCCAACGGATAGGGGCTGCTGCTGTATTGCAGGCAGTAGCATGGAGCAACAGGCAGGAGCTAGTCTATGTGGGGAGCCGATTTTTAAACCAGCTCCCCTTGCAGACTGGCTCCTCCTGCCACCCTGTGATGCTGCCTCCGATACAGGGTGGCATGAGGGCTCCCTAAAATACTCAACACCAGAGAGTATTTTAGTAACTGTGTAACTGCTAAATATTGTAGTGGCTACACGGTCACTAAAAATATACGACAACTAATGTTCTTATTCTATACCTTCCTCTGATCCATCTCTGTAATGGCTGTTCTGGAGAGAGAATATTTGACTACTTCATGTGGACCACTAGTCTGTTCACATATGTTAGTTCCTATGTTCCTTGAGGATATAGGACAAGACAGTATCTGAAAATGAGGATTGTAAAATGGGGAAAAAAATGAATAAAATTGAATGTTAGTATATAATATCAGATGTTGAGCTGGGGCAGTATTTTCTGCTAGGACAGATTATAGTTTAGTGAAATTCTCTGTTACATCTTTAATGCTATGGAATTCATTTTAAATCAAATCATGAAAGAAACTTAAGTGTTAAAGTACTAATTTCCTCTGTTCTGTTTTTTCAGGATACAAAATTGTGGATAATTATGGAATACCTTGGTGGAGGATCGGCTCTTGATCTAGTAAGTAAACTAGTTGTAAACTTCATAAATTAAGTAAACTTAATTTAAATTTAATTAATGCATTTCTTGAATGTTTCTGCTATTTATAATTCTAAATAATTAAAAATAACTTGTGTGCATATATGAATTAAAATAACTTTTCAATGAGATCCACATCGTTATGTTTGTGTGCTAAAAGGCTTGGTAACTCAGGATATTAGTAATGAGATATGAAAACTTTAATCTTGAAAGTCTGATATTGAGCCAACCAGAGAATATTAATGACTGTAAGTTGTTATTGTTTGCTGGATCTTCAAGGTACTCTTACATTTGTTTCCTAAAAAGCGACGAGGAGTCCTGTGGCACCTTATAGACTAACTGAAGTGTAGGAGCATAAGCTTTCGTGGGCAAAGACCCACTTCGTCAGATGCATGTAGTGGAAATTTCCAGAGGCAGGGATAAATATGCAGGCCAGGATCAGGCTGGAGATGACGAGGTGGATCCAATCAAGGAGGATGAGGCCCGCTTCTAGCAGCTGATCTGGAGGGGTGAATTCCAAGAGAGCAGAAGCTGCTTTTGTAGTTAGCAAGCCATTCACAGTCTTTGTTTAATCCAGAGTTGATTGTGTCAAACTTAAAGATGAACTGTAGCTCAGCAGTTTCTCTTTGAAGTCTGGTCCTGAAGTTTTTTTGCTGCAGGATGGCTACTTTTAGATCTGCAATTGTGTGTCCAGGAAGATTGAAGTGTTCCCCTACAGGTTTTTGTATGTTGCCATTCCTAATATCAGATTTGTGTCCATTGATTCTTTTACGTAGGGACTGTCCTGTTTGGCCGATGTATATAGCAGTGGGGCATTGTTGGCACATGATGGCATATATTACGTTGGTGGATGTGCAGGAGAATGTACCAGTGACAGTATGGCTGATCTGGTTAGGTCCTGTGACGGTGTTGCTGGTGTATATATGTGGGCAGAGTTGGCACCGAGGTTTGTTGCAAGGATTGGTTCCTGAGTTCGAGTTATTATGGTGCGGTGTGTAGTTGCTGGGGAGAATATGCTTCAGGTTGGCGGGTTGTCTGTGGGCGAGGACCGGCCTACCTCCCAAGGCCTGTGAAAGCGAGGGATCATTGTCCAGGATGGGTTGAAGATCACTAATGATGCGTTGGAGAGGTTTTAGCTGGGGACTGTAGGTGATGGCCAGTGGTGTTCTGTTGGTTTCTTTCTTGGGCTTGTCCCGTAGCAGGAGGCTTCTGGGGACACGTCTGGCTCTGTCAATCTGTCTCCTCGCTTCCTCGTGTGGGTATCGCAGTTTACAGAATGCTTGTTGAAGATCTTGTAGGTGTAGGTCTCTGTCTGAGGGGTTGGAGCATATGCAGTTGTACCTCAGTGCTTGGCTGTAAACAATGGATCGTGTGGGGTGTCCGGGATGGAAACTGGACGCATGCAGGTAAGTATAGCGGTCGGAAGGTTTTTGGTATAGGGCGGTATTGATATGACCGTCACTTATTTGTATCGTGGTGTCCAGGAAATGGACCTCCCGTGTAGATTGGTCCATGCTGAGGTTGATGGTGGGGTGGAAGCTGTTGAAATCATGGTGAAATTCTTCCAGAGTCTCCTTCCCATGGGTCCAGATGATGAAGATTTCAACATATCCCTGTAGCCCCTGATAAAGGCAGAGCAGGGGGTCTCCACATGCTGTCCTTGCCTGCAGACATTACTCCTGCAGCTCTCATTGATCAGTAACAGGGAACTGTGCCAGTAGAAGTTGTGGGCTGAGTGCTTGTAGATGAGGGGTAACACATGGCGCCTAGAAGTCATTGCTGTACATGCCAGCAGCCAGCAAGGGCACGCGCGGCGCACCCGGGGGCGGGGCCAAGGCCAGGGCCGGCAAGGGCACGCGCAGCGCACCCAGAGCCGGGGCTGGCCATGCGCCCGAGGCTGGCACCTGCCGCACGCCCAGGGACGGGGCCAGCCCAGATTGCTCCGCGGGCGCATGTAAAGGGCCCGGCAGGAGCCATGGTGCCCGCGGGCACCGGGTTGGGGACCACGGATCTAGACCTTCTGATAAACCATCAGAAATCCACATTCAAGCCCCCTCAATCCATAGAGTTCATAGGGGGTCACTTAGATTCAATATCAGCTCAAGCACACTTGCCTCAGGGACGGGGCCAGCCCAGATTGCTCCGCGGGCGCATGTAAAGGGCCCGGCAGGAGCCATGGTGCCCGCGGGCACCGGGTTGGGGACCACGGATCTAGACCTTCTGATAAACCATCAGAAATCCACATTCAAGCCCCCTCAATCCATAGAGTTCATAGGGGGTCACTTAGATTCAATATCAGCTCAAGCACACTTGCCTCACCATTGTTGCGCAGCTCTACAGGATTTGATCAGCATCTTGTGTGTGAGTCCCTCCTCTACAGTCCTTACCTATCTTCAGCTTATGGGTCATATGACGATGACTACTTATATAGTTATATACGCGCTCCTGCATTTTCATTCCCTTCAACACTGGACTGCTTTAGTCTATATCCCATCCCATCACCTATTGCACAAGACAGTATCCTTACCACCCGATGTTCTCACTTCACACTGATGGTGGACATTCTCAGACAGCCTCTTTGCTAGGCTCTCTCTTCACCAAACCAAGCCATCAGTGCAGATCACAACCGATGCTTCCCTATTGGGATTTGGCACTCGCCTACAAAATCAACTGGCTTAGGGCAGATGGTCACCACAGGAGGCCAAATTGCTCATCAACCTTCTTGAGCTCAGGGCTGTAAGAAACGCCTGTATCCATTTTGACCCTCCCTCCCCCCATCTACAACTGAACGGTTCGCACCTTCATAAACATATGACTACAGTGTTTTATGTAAACAGACAGGGAGGTATGTGCTCCCGCTCCCTGTGTGCAGAGGCAATTTACCTGTGGAACTGCTGCATCCATCATCAGGTCACACTCACAACATTGTACCTACCTAGGGTGAACAATACTATGGAGGATACCCTTAGTCACAAATTCTCCACAGATCACGAATGGGAACTTCATCCTCGAGTCCTTACTTCAATTTTCCCATGATGGGGATTCCCATTGATAGATCTGTTTGCATCACATCTCAACTCCAAGAGCCCTTGGTTCTGCCCCCCGGGGGGACTAATCCATGGGGGATGCCTTCCTGGTGATATGGAATGCACCACTTCACTACACTTTTCCTCCAATCCCTCTTATCCCGAGTAAAGATGTTAAGGACTAGTTGACTATCCGATAAGTATTTGCTTATCGAATAGTTAGTCGACTAGTAGATTCCTTCCCCCCCCCTTGCTGCCTCAGAGAGAGGCAGCAAAGTGGGGGAAAGGGTACAGGGATCAGCTGTGTGGCATTGCAACTTTGAAACCCCAAGGCAGTGTTTCAAAGGGGCAGCCACCGCACAGCTCATCTGCAGCTCAGCTGTGTGACGCGCTGCCCCTTTAAAATACCGAAGTGCCGTGGAGCCCGGGGACAGCTGGGGTTCCAAGCGGCATTTTCCCCAGAACCCGGAGTCAGCTGGAGAGATGCCGTGCAGAACCGGGGTCATCTGGGGACTCTTCAGCTGACCCCGGGCTCCATGGCTGCCCACCACATTTTAACATTCCTAATCCTGAGGGTCCTGCACAAGATCCATTTGGATGGTGCTCAAGACATCTTGATAGCCTCTTCTTGCTCCAGGCAGACTTGCTTTTCATACTTCCACTACATGTCTCTCCTACATATCCTCTTCCAGACTGCCACAGTCTACTTTCTCAGGAACTTGGGACAATTCTGCATCCCCAGCCCCGCACTCTTCACCTGAATGCCTGGCTTCTGTCTAGTTCCATGATTCTGAAACTCGCTGTTCTTCAAGGAGTGACTCCGTGGGTGCTCCACCTTAGGTGCGTCAGTGCCGCTGCATGTCGAATCGAAGATTTGTGATAGCAGTGCCCGTGGTTGGCTACGTGCATGTGGTGCCAGCATGGGAGATCTGAGGCATCTATTCCGCATGCGCAGCCAATTGTCCTCACTTCCTTCTCAACCACCACCGACTTCGGTCTCAACTCTGCAGTCGCCCTTTCTACCTCTCTGATAATTTGCATTCTGTAGATAGTTACACAACTGTTACCACAAAAGTTGTGTTATTAATTTGTTCTGCTTACCGCTGTAGCTTAAAAAAATTCTCTCTTCACTTAGCAATACTAACTACTTCTATTTTACTATTCTGAGGATTCAGTTCTCTAATACATGCCAAAACCTTGCCTTCCTGGGACATGCCTGCCTTGCTGGGTTTTAAAGGTGCACAAGTTGCAAGCTGTCTATTTCTATTTCTACATGGCAGCCAGATCCTTAGCCTCCACAGTGGTGATAAGGTGAGCATCCTGGCTTTAGCTCTCAGATCCAAGCAGCAGTCGAGGACTTGCTGTTCAAGGGTACCAAGCTCTTTGCTGAATCCACAAACGCCTCCTTAGACACCCTAAAGGATTCATGGGCTACATTAAAGACTCTTGGCATTCATGTGCTTGACACAGAGAAAACAGGGCAGGTCATTCACACTGAGGTACAGATCCACACCCTTTAACCAACAACTACAGCACGACGACAATAAATGATGCCATGCCAAAATAGGCGCAAGCAAGCCTCCGAACAGTCACCATCTCAACAACCATCAATGTCTCGTCAAGCATTTTGAAGTCCTGGTCGAGGTTCAAACAACCCCGAAATTTTCACAGCAGCCATTTGAACCCTCCACAAAAGTTGGCAGCAGACTAGCTACATTCTATCCAGTGGGTGCTGGAAATCATAAAAATTGGTTATCGCATCCCGTTTTTAGTTACCTTCCTCCCCCAAATCCTCCTTGCCTGTCTCTCTTCAGGGACCCCTTTCACGAATATGTGTTCATACAAGAGCTAGAACACCTTCTCAGGCTAGGTGCCATAGAAGAGGTACCAAAGGAGCACAGAGGCAGGGGTATCTACTCCCATTATTTCCTCACCCCCCAAGAAATCAGGAGGGTT